TCATTACTAAAGCTGACATACCAATAAAAATATTTAATTTGATGTCAACTTGAACTCCTTTTTCTTATTTTAATATCTACAAAATAATGATGTTTTCCTATTCCAGGAAACTCCAATCTCTGTTCCACTCTGTTATCTTTTTTAAAAATTTGTTTTAGTAGTTATAGATGGACAGAATGCCTTTACTTTATTTTATGTGATGCTAAACATCAAACCCAGTGCCTCACAGGTGGTAGGCAAACACGCTGACACTGAACTGCAACCCCAGTCCCACTCTGTTATCTTGATAAGAAACTCATCTCTCATCCAACTCCATGATGACCATGAAGTGATTTTACAATATTACTTCCACTGAAAAACATCCTAGAACTACTTAACACTCTTTAAACAATTCACTACAGTCTGCCTTGATGGAACAGAAAGAGGAAGAGAAGCCAGTGAACATATGACAGTGTTAGGGAGAAAGACCCCCAAAAGGAATGATTTTGGAGAATGAAATGGAAATAAAATTTTTATGGGGAAATAGATGAACACTCTCAAATACTATAGAGAACAAGTAGCTCACGATGGTGATTAGTCTTTTGAGTCTGGAACAAGAGGCCAACACTGATTCTTAAGAGAACAGGTTCTATAGAGAATACATAAGAATTGAATAAACTAAACATAGATGATGAAGTAGTGTAGGCTCTCTGAAGAAATCAAATATGCAAGAAAACAGAAAATGGTTGATATTTTGGTAAGCAAACCAGTCAAGTAGATATTTAGTTGCTATTGTTTGTATTTAGAATAGAGCCCTTTTAAGTATGTTTGTAGGTGAAGGAAAAACACCAGCAGAGAAAGGATTGAAGAATAGAGAGGCAAACAAAATGGATCAAACTGTCCTGGAGAAGATAGGGTGGGGAGAAAAAGCAAGGACATAAACTTTCTTCTGAAACAGGAATATAAATTAGGGACCAAGGAAGAGATTTATAAATGCTGAGATGAAAGTGAGGGGTGAAATTATAAGGATCCAGTTCTGATAATATCTATTCCTATAGTCTTTAAAGGGAAGATTATCAGCTCACTTGAAGTATCCTTAGTTTCTTCACCTTTCACCAGTTGTTTTCCCTTTAAGACTTGTAACATGTACATTTTAGTCCTTAAGCCTATTATCATTGGTTTTAGAGAAGTAGATTTTTCATACTTCTATAATCATCTTGTCTCTAATATTTTGAAAATTATTTCCTTTCTCTTGTAAAAATGTATTTTGTTGGAGAATTGTACTATAACAACTATATAGACTTGCTACTTACTGATAAAGCATCATAGAAAGATAAATAGTTTCTCCAACCTAAATGAATGTCAAATAACTTAAATTTTTTAAAAAAGATATCATCTTGTTTTCTTATACATAGAAATTCCACAAGAGCAATGACTTGTGTTTTATATACCCTGTCAAGGTACAACAAACAATGAGGGCAGTAAATAAATATTAGGAGTAAAATTCCAAATAATAAAACTAACTATAAATCAGTTACTATTAGATGAACTTAAAACTACCAAAATGAAGAATACGCATCCTTAATCACAGTGTTCAGCAAAATAATAGCATCACTGAGTAATTAATATGTGTCTAGAATAGTGCTAAATATTTTACATGCCATTTTTATCCTTATAATTTTCACTTCATGCATATTTATTATTTTATATTTAATTCATAGTAACTTCACTAAAAAGGACCAATACTTTCCTTGTTTTCAATAAATGAAATAAATAAATAAATGATAGTTCAAGATAAATAGCATGCTCAAATTCATATATTTTGCTAAAAATGCATGCTGAGTTAGAATTAAAACTCATGTTTTTCTGACTCAATAGCCAATAGTGTTATTTACAATGCTCCTGAATTTAGCACCTGTAAGTTGGATTATTTTTTCCTTGTGAAAGAGTTAGGACTGATATTATTTGATTGTCTGGCAACACAACTTACCTATGTAAGGCAGAAAAGTATTACTGATCAAAGCATAAGATGGAATGTAAGGAATAGAAACAATTATTGAAATAACTCATGTCCTCTTGTTTGATTGCAGCTTTGTATACAACTATTTGAGCAATGATATAACAGGACAACTGCTAATGGTAAACAACAGTTCAGATATTAAGGTAAAACATTGCTTAAGGAGATGCAGTGTTACCAAAGAGGCAATCTACTACTTTGCATATCAGAGCATTATATTATATTATATTATTTATTTATTTAATCTAATAATCTGGGTGTATAGTTAGAGAAGAAAGTGAGGTAGCCAAAAAGTGTGATGAATTTTATGATAGGTATCATAAGCTATGACCACTGTATCTTGCAGAATTAATTCTATTGAATTTTTAATGTTTTTGAAAATGAATGCTGCAACTATACTTTTAAAAAATAATTTATACTTAAATGTTCTGTTAGCATTCCTGCAGATCATCCTGTATGTTACCAAACATTAGCTGGAAATAGTAGCTATTAGCAGATGAAATTTGAGAAAATAATATAAAAATAGTTATGCTTGTTATACAACCCAGCCTTTTTAGAATATGGTGCTGATTTTTATAAACCATGCTCCATTCGACATCAAACATATGGTATGTGGTTCTGAGAAAAATATATCAGATTTTCTGTCATTAAATTTATATTTTTCAAGCTTTGCACAAAATTTCCTTTATATTTTAATGCTTATCCCTTTCTAATAGAATGCTGCTACACAAAAATATCTATTAGAAAGTTGTAGCAACTATAAAAACTGAATAGAAAAATAGCTACATTAAAGGAAATTCAGAATTTTTCTTTTCTCTCTTGTACCGAGGACTGAACCCAGGGGCACTCAACCACTGAGCCACATTCCTCGCATTTTTTATATTTTATTTAGAAACAGGTCTTGCTGAGATGCTTAGGGCCTCACTAAATTGCTGATACTGGCTTTGAACTTGCTGTCCTTTTGCCTCCCAAGCTGCTTGGATTATAGGCATGCACCACCATGGCAGGCCAAAATTTACAGAATTTTAACCAGAAGCAATTCTTAGTGAATTTTTATCCATTACAAAGATTATAACATGTAGGGGGGGCTTAGTTTGCCAGAGAATATGCCAATTTTACTAATATTTCTTTTTCCAAAGTAAAGTTGAAATATAAACTAATATCATCTCAATTGGCACAAGAAACTCACAGGTAATGTGAATACAGAAAGGTAAGGAGGAGAAGGAATATAAAAAGAAGAGAGAGGTATATTTTTATTTTTTTAAACTTTTAAATTTCTTTTGAGTTTTTGTTCTGAATGTTTATTAAAATGCAGAAGTAGTTTAACTATATTTTATAGCATCAAAATTGACAAAACTGGTTTCATGACCTCATGTTTAGAATTCTTAACATTTATGCATCAAACTCAACTTTTATAATTTTTGTTTCCAAACAATATGCAAAAAGATTCAGGCTATTGTTTGCAAGCATCACAAATACCTCAACATAGATATTCTACCAAATAAAGTAATAGCCAAATTGGTCATAACCTTTTTCCATATTTTCTCTTTTTCACACTGTATTTTGACATCATACAGTGCTGCTTGAATTTTGAAAAGAATGCTATTTAAAAATCTAGTGAAGCTCTTGAGAGAAAATGGAAAAATTGTTATCAGGCTTAAAATCCTTGTTAAATTTGAAATTTCAATATCAGTGCTTCCTCAGGTTGCTGCCTTTTTAAAAATTAATTTTTTAAATTTATATATGACAGAGGGATGCATTACAATTCTTTATGCATTACATATAGAGCATAATTTTCCATATTTCTGGTTGTATACATAGTACATTCACACTAATTCGTGTTTTCATACATGTACTTTGGATAATAATGTCCATCACATTCCACCATCATTTCTAAACCCAAGTGCCCCTTCTCTTCCCACCCCTTTGCCCTATCTAGAGTTCATCTATTCAGTTAGAGAAGATAATGCTAAGTGAAGTTACCAATTCCAAAAAACCAAATGCCGAATGTTTTCTCTGATATAAGGAGGCTGATTCATAGTGGGGTAGGGAGGGGGAGCATGGGAGGACTAGGCAAGAGGTATATTTTTAAAAAATTCTCCTTAAACAGTTATTCTTTCCTATATGCTTACTGAATGAATATAAATGTGTGTGTGTGAGAATGTATGTGCATGTGTGTATGGTTAAGAATTACATTCCATTAAGAATTGTCTCATACTTTTTGGATGAAAGATCTCAAATAAAATTAAAATTGTCTTTTAAAGTCTGAAAAATGGAATCATAAACACTTCTAATTTAAAAACAAGAATTAGCCAGGTGTAGTGGCGCATGCCTGTAATTAGCCAGGTGTAGTGGCGCATGCCTGTTGGGAGGCTAGGGCAGAAGGATCGAAAGTTCAAGGGCAGCTTCAGCAACTAAGTGAGGCTCTAAGCAACTGAGCAAGACCCTGACTCAAAATTTAAAAAAGGGCTTGGAATGTGGCTCAGTGGTTATACACCCCAGGTCAATCTCTATCTAAATAAATGAATAAATAAATAAAAATAAAAATTAGGATTTTTTTAAACTATAGAAATACTATATAATGAAATTTAAAATATATATATAGAATATAAAATATTCTATAAAGATTAAAGAAGTTATGATTTTCAAATATTTGAAAGTGAATTTTAAGAGATTAATTTCAAAAACAATGGCATACTGGTATTCTCTTATACACTAGTAGTTATAAGAAATACTTCAATACAAATGAATGTAAGCAAAACTATACATATATTACATGAAATATCAGATAAGACATACAGATATGATTAATACCTTTCAAAAAAATCCTAGAGACTTTGGAGAGAATGTCACTAATATACAAATTTTAAAACAAAGTGAATAAGTAGAGATATAAACTAAAATTAGCTATTAAATTTCATTTTTTAAATGATGAACAAAAAATAAGGGATACACTACATGATATCAATGCTAAGTTAAAATGATTCATACAAAGTAGTCAATATAGAGATTCAGAAATATTTTATTAGAAAAGTGTTGCATATTCATCCTAATAATCAATTTTTATTTTCTCTGTGTATTGTTTGAATTTCCCAAAGCCATCCTCCATAATTAACCATTTAAAACTCATTCACATATTTTATTATGCATTTTACAACAAAGCCTAATAACAAAACATTTAATATATTTTGCACTAAAACATTTTGAAACCAATTTGGTGTGTATTGAAGAAGTATTTTTCTCATCATATTACTCAAGATTTTGATCTGTCAGAGTATTAGTTTCCTAGGTTTTGCTGTAACATATTACCAGAAACTGGGTAGCTTAAAACAATAGAAATGTATTTTTTAACTGTTTTAGAGGCTAGAAGCCCCCAAACCAAGATGTCTGCAGGGTAGGTTCTTGCTGGAGATTCAGAGGGAGAATTTGTTTCTTGCTTTTGTCTTATCTTCTAGTGGTTGCCAACAATACTGAGTATACCTTAGCTTATAGACTTATCACTCCAATTTCTGCTTCCACCTTCAGGTCGTATTCACTTGTATCTCTGATCTTCTTATAAGGACATAAGTCACATTGGATTAAAGGCCATCCCTGCTCCAGTATGACATCATCTTAACTACTCATATCTGAAATGATGGTATTTCCAAATAAGGAAGCAGATGAATATTAGGACAACACTATCCAATCCAGTGCAATCAGTTTTAACTTGACATCAATGAAAAAATTCTCCATATTATACAGGATGTAAAAATGATTAATGAAATAGGTGAATCAATTTTTAATATAAGAGTGTGGTCTTTTATTTTCTAATCAGATACTCATATGGGAATTTACTATTGTAAATCTTTTTCATCCACAAATATATTTTACACATGAAGAGAAACATAAAATTCTTCAGGTAGGATTCAGGGGATTAACCTAAGTGCATTCTCTTGTTTATATTTTGAGCACATTCCCCAGATATTTTTCTAATCCTGATTTCATTGCAGGATTGTTTAGATTTAAATAAAGCCTATAAAATAAAAGCAGTGAACAAGTTTGGGGAGTAAAGTTAAATATTACATAGGTAAATAAAATGAGTCTGAGGTAAATATAGTCATGTTGATATTTCATTCACTTGGATTTTTCTATTAAGTATTTGTAATCATACTGGAAAGTATGAATGTTTTCTGTATTTGAAGAAATAGTTTACTGAGAAAATTAATGATTTCAAGAATTACTTAAGAGAATACTCATTTATATGTACCTTTAAACACCATCCTCCCACCCCACTCCATATACCCTTTGATTAATTATCTCCTGTTCATCTTTCAGGTCACAATCACGTTCTCAGACCTGGTTTCCTCCAACAGGTCGAATCTCTACCAGATACTTTTAAATTACACCGTATGCTTCTGTGTAGCATTTATCACTGTGTCCATTTCATATTGACTTTTGTGATTATTTAACTAACATCATTCTTGTCCACTAGACAACAAGCTTCACAGACAGGTACTATGGATCATAGGTATTGTACTTACCTTTGTTTCTCTAATGTCAAGTTCAGTACTTGCTGAATAACTGAATAAATTAGAAGTGCATACTTACTAATAAAAAATGACATGTGAATTATGAATCAATCTCATCAATTTGTTATAGAATACTCCACCAAGTGCAATTTTCCTGAAACAACTTTTTATCCTTATTATAGTTTCTATGTCTAGGTAGAAACATTAAGGGAGCATTAATTTTAATATACTGAATAAATCAGACAGTTTCTTATTTCAAATAGCTCTACTGAATTCTTTTTAATAGTTCAATAAAAATGCAGAATTCAAACAAGTTTGTATTATTTACTAATAGTAATTCTGAGTTATTAAAATAGATATAATTGATATTAAATATAAATTCTGTGAAACACTTCTCTCATGGCAGTTAGGGAAATTCTACACTTTTATTTTGGAATTTATGAAAATTAGCGCATATCACTCTGAAAAAATCCTTTTAAAGCAATGAACTATAAATTTCAATAGTGAAATCCATAAGTATAATGCCATTTTAAAATAATATTTGAAAATTAAAACTTATAAAAAGGCTACTTTTAGAAAGCTACAGTAATTAATTATTTACCAATATGGAAGTTAAAATTCATTCCATATTATCATTAATTATTTGAGCCACAGAAAAATCTGTTATAAATTTTAATATCTAAATTCAGAATTTAGATATTATGTTGGAGTTTACATATTTAGATAAACATAATATTTTTTTAAAAAATTTCCTGCTCAGAGAAAGAATTGAATTTCAGAAGTCAAATATAATGCAAGATAAACACATTTTTTTCCAGCCCCAAGATGCTGCTGCTCTGAGTTAAGCTTTGTATGTTATGTTAAAACTTCCTACAGTTTCTTTTGAGAAGAAAATAATTCTAAATACTATCAATTTCAAGGCTGTCCTATGCTTTAAGCTGGAGGTATTAACCTATTCATCACATAGACAAATAAATTAAAGAAACTGAGGGAAAAATTGAACATCAGATCTCATAATTTCATAGCTGCTCTAAGCTTGGCTGAGCGACCTCTGGGGTTATTTTGTACATCCCAATCTTCTGGAGTAAGCACTTTCTTATGTATCAATTCCCACATTAAAGGAGGTCTTACAGAGCTTCCTTCCTTATTTGCATGATATGAACTCAATTGGGATGTTTGTATTACCTTCTGTCTAACACTTAAGTTAAACTTTTCTGTCATGCTTATCCCAAGCAAAAACCTTTTGACAATGCGATCCTCTAATGAATGGAAGGAAAGGGCAACAAGACGACCACCAGGTTTCAGAAACTTCTGAGCTGTCTTCAGTCCCATGTGGAGTTCGTTGAGCTCATTATTCACGAATATTCGAAGAGCTTGGAAAGTCTTGGTAGCAATATGGGTAGATCTTTGTAGCAAGTCTTTTCGTGCATAAATAGCAGAGGGAGGAAATGCACCTAGGCATAGATTTTGTAAAAACAGAAAAAGAGGACATGTAACATTAATATTTCCACTATAAATGTACTGAATTGTGTATAGTGTATGCATATTTAAGGAACTAAATTTTCTTAGAGATTGTGGAATTTCATTCATACTTCCCTTCCCTCCCTTATTTCCAAACATTCTTCCAAAGTTTAAAACTATGTATCACAAATGTCTTTCATGATTCATAAGGAGAACTAGAATCAAACAAGAAACAGAAAAAGAGAATGTGTAGATAAAAATCCATAACTTTCCAACTTTGCTGAAAAATGTTAAATCACAGCTATAAGAAACTCAAGGAACCACAAATAAAATAAACAAAGAAGATTGCACCTAGGTATATCATAATCAAACCACCACAAGTAAACAACAAAAAAAATTCATGAGAAAAGCAAAGAAAACAACACATTAAATAAAGAACAAAATTGTGAATAATAGCATAGTGGAGATATAATACTGGAATAATATTCAAAGTGGAATACTATTCAAAGTGTTGAGAATAAAAAATATTTTCTAAGAAGTTATGTCCACTAAATTTTTTCTTCAAAAATAAAGACTGAGAGGACATTTTTAAGTAAACACAAAGTGAAACAATTCCTTGCTAACTACTTTGTATTCACAAAATGCTAAAGAAAATTCTTCAGGCTGAAATATAAGATGTCATGCACTATCTAGGCTATTAGAAAGGAATAAAAAATAGGTAATATATGCAAGTGCATATGTATTCTTCTCTTGATTTCCTAAAAGGCATAAGACTCTTTAAGCTAGTTTATAACATTTTACTCTTCGGTTTATACTATGCATATAAACATATACTATATAACAATAGCACAGAGAGAGAGAGTGGGTAAATGAAAGTATACTATTACAAGTTTCCTATATTTTATTGGAAGTAAAAATTGCATACTATGGTTCTACTATGAATCAAATAACAAAAAAATGCATTGAAATAAAACAAACAAAGCTAATAGAGAATAATACTACAAAATTGTTTATAATAAAAAACAGAAAAGAACAGAAAAAAGAAATAGAGACAAAATATATCAATAATTACATTAAACAAAAATGAACTAAAACTCCAATAAAATTGTGGAGACAAAGTAAAATGTGATTCCCTTTCCCTTTGATTAATATTATTTGTAAATTGTTAATGTTTCTAATTGGTGTTTTTCCCTCTAATTTTTAATTAATATATACCCTTTAATCTACCTTCCCTAATAAATATCTCATTATTCATAAAAAATTGTGGAGAGATTGTTTAATTGGAAAAACAGCAAGACCAAACTATATTTTCTTTACAGGCAAGGGATTTTAAAGATAAAAATATTAATAATTTGTAACAAGTAAATAAAAAGCTGGGCAAATTTATAACATATAGAAAGTAAAGTTAAAAATATGGACAAACTATATTAATATTGAAAAGAATAAGCTTTTTTTAAAGAGAAGAATTACTAAGAGCAAAAAAAGAAACATTGCCTATTGAGAACAAGGTCAATATAGTAGGAAGACACAAATAAAAAACATATGCATGTCTTAAAAGCAGACATATCAGGAATAGAGCCACATTTACAGACGTTTGTTTTTTGACCAAGTGATCAAGTTGTTTCAATGAGAAAGAACAGTCTTTTCAACAAAAATGAGTATACAAAAAAATAAACCTCAACCCTTATCTCATGCTTTATATATAAAATTACTTTAAAACTGATCAGAATTGATAGATAATAAAGCTATAAACTACATATATAAACTGGTCAGAATTGATAGATACTAAAGCTATAAACTATTGACAAAATTCTCTGATCCATAATATATAAAAAAATCTCACAACTTAAAAAGAAGGCCAAATAACTTATTTTAAAAATGGGAAAATGTTTAAAAAGGCACTTCAAAAAAGCTACGTAACATGCCTTTTCACAAACATCTGAAAAATGTTCAACATTATGGAAATGCAAATTAAAACTACACTGAAATATAAATACATATTGACTGTAAAGGCTATATCCTGGAATGATACTAACTTAGGTGAAACAGACATATAACAATGGAGGAGACTGAATCAATAAATAATTAAAAGTCTGCCCTCAGAGAAAAGCCCAGGCCCACATAACTTCATCATTGAATTCTACTGAACATAAAAAAAATATATTCATCAGCTCTTTCAAAAAACTAAAGAGGAAGGAGCACTTCCCAAATTATTCCATGAGGCCAGTACTAAAACCAAAGACATAACAAGAAAATTACAGACCAATATCTCTTATAAATATGTATATAAAAACCCTCAACAAATTACTAACAAAGTGAATTCAGCCAATTAAAAGGACTGACTATATACCATGACCAAGTGAGATTTATTCCTGGAATGCAATGTTTCAACACATGAAAATTGATCAATATAATATATCACACTAGTAGAATAAAGGAAAAAGAGATCATATCAATTGATACAGAAATATATTTGATAAAGTTCAACATTATTATAATTAAAAATACTCAACAAAATAGGAATGGAAGAAAACCATACAAACACAATAAAATCTACATATGATCAAGAGATTTTCCTTTAAGATGAGGAACAAGATAGGATGCTGCTGCCAGCACTTCTGTTTAACAGTGTTAAAAGTTCTAGTCAGATCAATTAGACAGGAAAAAGAGGGGGAAAAAGTGTTCAGATTGGAAAAATGTAAAATTATCTTAACAGAGATGGCATCATCTTGTAAGTTAAAAACTCCTATAACATTTCACTCATAGACACAAACTATTAGAATTAATAAATGAATTCAGCAAATTAGCAGGATAGAAAATTAGCATGCAAAAATCCATTGTGCTTCTATAATACCAGTAACAAAGAAAATGAAATTAACAATTCCACTCACAAGCATCAAAAAGAATGAAATGGTTAGAAATAAGTTAACAAAAGAAGTCCAAAATGTATGCTCTAAAAGTTATGTTTTTGAAAGAAACTTAAAAAGACCTAAATAAATGCAAAAACATTTTCTGTTCAAGAATTGGAAAACTTAACATTGTTAAAATGGCAATACTCTCCTAACTGTTCAGACTCAATGCTTTCCCTATCAGAATACCAGTTGAATTTGGGTATAAATGACAAGCTGATTTATATGGAATTACAAGAGACCCAGAACAATCCAAATGATCTAGGGGAAAAAGTAAAGTAGGAGAACTTACAGATTTCAAAACTTACTACAAAGTAACAGCAAACAAGATAGTGTGGTACTGGAGAAACAATAGAGAGGTCAATGAAATATGATTGAGAGTCAAAAAATAAATCCATCCATCTATGGTGTGCTAAGATCATACAGTAGAGAAAATCTTTTGCACAAATGGTGTTTGGTTTATAGAACAGCTCAAAATGGATCAAAACCTAATTTTAAGAACAAAATTATAAAATCCTTACAGGAAAACAGGGATAAATCTTCCTGACTTTGAATTCAGTAAGAGATTCTTTATAAAAAGACAATGTATAGAATGGGAAAAAATTTGTAAATCATATATAAGGGATTTATATCCAAAATATAGAAAAGTAAACTGTATAATGTTACATGTATGGTATTGTCTACATCATTTTTTACAACCTGCACAGAAAAACAGACATGTCCTATCCAATTAAAAAATGAGATAAACAAAAATGCTAATTTTAAGTAAATTAATGTTTTCCTTAAGCTCACATATATGAATTACATATACATGTTGGCATATATGAATTACTACACTTGATCTTAGCCAAAAGGCCGAGAAGCAATATGAATTACAATATAATGCTCAATTGATTTATTTAGGAATATTTCTTTGATTTAAGTAGGTCCTTGGAAAATATTATTCCATAGAGAAATGTTTCTATTTCAGATTATCTACAAATGACAATATGACAAGATAACTGCAATTCTGGCATTTCAATATCTTTAACATGGTCTTACAAAAGATAAAATTAAACAAGTCCTGTACCTTAGTTCACATTACAGTAATCTGTACATCCAGCAGTGTACACATAACTGATTTTCTCTGGGAATTGGAACAGAGAAGAGAAATATCTAACAAGCACCAGAGTTGAGAAACTGGCTGTCTAAAGTTAACAATTAGTGTGAAGAGCTCATTCTTTCCTCTACAAAACTACTTTGCCAAAGCGTTGAAAATTTAAGACACTGGGGAATTTATACTCCAACAACTAGGTCTTTCAGAAACAAGATGTCAATGTCAAAGCTTAAGAGGAAGGACAGGGGCTGGGGTTGTGGCTCAGAGGTAAAGTGCTTGACCGGCATGTGTGAGGCACTGGGTTCAATCCTCAGCACCACATAAAATAAAGATATTATGTCCACCTACAACTAAAAAATAAATGTGTGGTTTTTTTCAAAGAGGAAGGACAGCTTCTTTAAATTTGACATAGAGAAATGTGTTTCAGAATATTCTAAGAATCCAAACAAATAAGCAACTGGTCCTATTTTGGGGCCTGGACTTAAAGGAAGCTTCAGGAAAGCTAAATTCTGAAAGTCCTTGCCTAATCCAAGACTAATTTTCACAAAGGAGAAACATAATATAAAATACATTTTAACATACACATATTTTCACATAAAATAGGAAGTAAACAGCATGAATATTTACTTCTGTATCATAGGACATTTTTGTCTTAATGATTTAAAATATTTTTTCTTAGCATTAATATTTTTCAGAAATTAAAATCATGACCCAACACAGCAATCACTTAATTTTCTTGAAATTTTATCACAGAACTTCCATTTCAAAGATATTTATTTAAGGATGTAGTTTTTAAACATAGTGTTGAATTAGCCATGCCTGGCTGGCTCCATGCATACCTGGCTCCATGTTAACTAAATTAAAAGGTAAAAGCAGAAATATTTCTATGCTATTGTCACTGAATACATTTTTAAAAATTAATCAAACAGGCAATGTTTCATAAAAAACAACAAAATAATATTTGAAATTATCCTATACATTCTACTAT